GTTCAGGAGTTTCATCATCATCATTTGAAAGTTTAAGTGAAAAAATTCGATGTTTAACCCGTTGAAGATATAATTGAGAAACAATATCAAAATCTTGTTTAGATGTTGATCGAAAATCAAGACCAAAAGTTTGAGGATGAATCAAGATCAAATTATTAAAACGTTTATTAAGACCATAGAAAGATTGAATAAGTTCAATTGAATGAATATATTCAGACATATCGAGTAACAATACGTCGGTAAAGTTAGCACCATATTCGTCTTTATCTATCCGGATTCGCGATATTACTTGGGTTAGCTCTAAAACCACTTGGGTTAGGTGCAGAATTTAATTCTGCATCGAATGGTGCCAGTTTTGAGCGGGGTTATCGGGCAAAAACACCCCACTTCCCTGAAAATACTGGTTTTTCCAGGTAATTCCCAAGGTATTCCCTGTCCGGATTCGCTATATTACTTGGAATATTTCTAAAACAACTTGGGTTAGATGCAGAATTTAATTCTGCGTCGAACGGTGCCAGTTTCCAGGAGGGTTATCGGGCAAAAATGTCCTACTTCCCTCAAAATACTAGTTTTTCCAGGTAATTTCCAACCAGTATTTTGAGGGAAGTGGGGTATTTTTGCCCGATAATCCCCCTTAAAACTGGCACCATTGGACGCAGAATTAAATTCTGCACCTAATCCAAGTGGTTTTAGATGTAACCCAAGTGATATAGCGAATCCGGACAGGGAATACCTGTGGAATTACCTGGAAAAACCAGTATTTTCAGGGAAGTGGGGTATTTTTGCCCGATAACCCCGCTCAAATCTGGCACCATTCGATACAGAATTAAATTTTGCACCTAACCCAAGTAGTTTTAGAGATAACCCAAGTGATATAGCGAATCCGGACAGGGAATACCTTGGAAATTATCAGGAAAAACTAGTATGTTGAGGGAAGTGGGGTACTTTGCCCGATAACCCTGCTTAAAACTGGCACCATTGGACGCAGAATTAAATTCTGCATCTAAC